ATTATCTTGGCTTGTCTTTCTAATTTTTGTTAATTTAAATAAATAATTTTATTTGCAATTTTATTACCTTTGCTACCGTGTTATCGGTATCCTTTGAAATTCCACTTGATTTCCTGGTAAAATCTTCTCGGACACTTTCTATTATTCACTCGCGACTTATTACGCTAGAAACACACTAGATTTTTTTAGCATAACAAAAACGAATTTCTCATTTTAAAAGCTAGGCAGTTTTTGTACTACAACACAGTTACCTACAGGTTATCTCGCAGAAACAAACGCGTGAACGCAACCGACAGGTGTTAACCAGGTTCTTGGGCACTTTTTCTTCCACGCCGCCGAAGAAACGCTATGGAGGAGGTAAAGCGGCTCCGAAGTGTTCCATAGGTTCGGAGAAAGGCATCTCTTTCGCATATACGATGTGTAATAAGCATTAGTATAAATCTCTAAATATCGAAATTATGCAAATACAGAGTCTTGTCAGAAAGTAATCTACCATTATACGGTTAAAAAAGAGAACTTCTGCCTCGAGATATTTTTATACGAACTTTTATACATTGAAGAAGTTTAAAGTTAAATCATCATCATAGGGTCGTCAGTCCTAAGACTGGTTGGATATATATACACATCCACTCTGCTATTCTGAGCTAATCTTCGCATTTCCCTAAAACTAGATTATCTCACATCCTTAACTATTTGCGAACAGCAATCTAGTGTAGGTCTACCTCTAATCCTCTTATCTTCTGTTTCTGCTTCTAATATGTCCCTAACTAGTCCTTCATGCCTGAGAGCGTGTCCTGTCAACCTATTTTGCCTATTTCTTATTGACTTCCATAGATTCCTCTGTTCTCCTTTCTTCTAATACCTCTTCATTTCTAATCTTTTCTATCCACGGTATCCTCATCATTCGCCTATAACACCACATTTCGAACGCTTCTAACCTTTTCTTTTCCACCACGCCCAAACATACACCTTTAACAACCTCTTTCGAATTTCTAATGAAACCGTTCGCGAGCATAGAAGTGGCTTATTTTTATTGAATGCGACTCGAACCTGCGCTAACCTCTGCGTTATATCCCTACGACTCCTTTCGTCCTGACTCTTTCCTATTCTGAACGTTTCCCAATTCCCAAAAACTAGAACATCCCACATCCTTAGCCAAAATCATTACGCTCCCGCTTCCGCAAGAATTTACTATTTACTTCTGTTTCCTTTATGACACATCCATTCCATCGCTACTACTAATCTATTTCTAACTAGCCCTTCATGCCTGAGAAGGTGTCCTACCAACCTATCTCGCCTATTTTTTATTGACTTCCATAGATTCCTCTGTTCTCCTTTCTTCTAATACCTCTTCATTTCTAATCTTTTCTATCCACGGTATCCTCATCATTCGCCTATAACACCACATTTCGAACGCTTCTAACCTTTTCTTTTCCACCACGCCCAAACATACACCTTTAACAACCTCTTTCGAATTTCTAATGAAACCGTTCGCGAGCATAGAAGTGGCTTATTTTTATTGAATGCGACTCGAACCTGCGCTAACCTCTGCGTTATATCCCTACGACTCCTTTCGTCCTGACTCTTTCCTATTCTGAACGTTTCCCAATTCCCAAAAACTAGAACATCCCACATCCTTAGCCAAAATCATTACGCTCCCGCTTCCGCAAGAATTTACTATTTACTTCTGTTTCCTTTATGACACATCCATTCCATCGCTACTACTAATCTATTTCTAACTAGCCCTTCATGCCTGAGAAGGTGTCCTACCAACCTATCTCGCCTATTTTTTATTGACTTCCATAGATTCCTCTGTTCTCCTTTCTTCTAATACCTCTTCATTTCTAATCTTTTCTATCCACGGTATCCTCATCATTCGCCTATAACACCACATTTCGAACGCTTCTAACCTTTTCTTTTCCACCACGCCCAAACATACACCTTTAACAACCTCTTTCGAATTTCTAATGAAACCGTTCGCGAGCATAGAAGTGGCTTATTTTTATTGAATGCGACTCGAACCTGCGCTAACCTCTGCGTTATATCCCTACGACTCCTTTCGTCCTGACTCTTTCCTATTCTGAACGTTTCCCAATTCCCAAAAACTAGAACATCCCACATCCTTAGCCAAAATCATTACGCTCCCGCTTCCGCAAGAATTTACTATTTACTTCTGTTTCCTTTATGACACATCCATTCCATCGCTACTACTAATCTATTTCTAACTAGCCCTTCATGCCTGAGAAGGTGTCCTACCAACCTATCTCGCCTATTTTTTATTGACTTCCATAGATTCCTCTGTTCTCCTTTCTTCTAATACCTCTTCATTTCTAATCTTTTCTATCCACGGTATCCTCATCATTCGCCTATAACACCACATTTCGAACGCTTCTAACCTTTTCTTTTCCACCACGCCCAAACATACACCTTTAACAACCTCTTTCGAATTTCTAATGAAACCGTTCGCGAGCATAGAAGTGGCTTATTTTTATTGAATGCGACTCGAACCTGCGCTAACCTCTGCGTTATATCCCTACGACTCCTTTCGTCCTGACTCTTTCCTATTCTGAACGTTTCCCAATTCCCAAAAACTAGAACATCCCACATCCTTAGCCAAAATCATTACGCTCCCGCTTCCGCAAGAATTTACTATTTACTTCTGTTTCCTTTATGACACATCCATTCCATCGCTACTACTAATCTATTTCTAACTAGCCCTTCATGCCTGAGAAGGTGTCCTACCAACCTATCTCGCCTATTTTTTATTGACTTCCATAGATTCCTCTGTTCTCCTTTCTTCTAATACCTCTTCATTTCTAATCTTTTCTATCCACGGTATCCTCATCATTCGCCTATAACACCACATTTCGAACGCTTCTAACCTTTTCTTTTCCACCACGCCCAAACATACACCTTTAACAACCTCTTTCGAATTTCTAATGAAACCGTTCGCGAGCATAGAAGTGGCTTATTTTTATTGAATGCGACTCGAACCTGCGCTAACCTCTGCGTTATATCCCTACGACTCCTTTCGTCCTGACTCTTTCCTATTCTGAACGTTTCCCAATTCCCAAAAACTAGAACATCCCACATCCTTAGCCAAAATCATTACGCTCCCGCTTCCGCAAGAATTTACTATTTACTTCTGTTTCCTTTATGACACATCCATTCCATCGCTACTACTAATCTATTTCTAACTAGCCCTTCATGCCTGAGAAGGTGTCCTACCAACCTATCTCGCCTATTTTTTATTGACTTCCATAGATTCCTCTGTTCTCCTTTCTTCTAATACCTCTTCATTTCTAATCTTTTCTATCCACGGTATCCTCATCATTCGCCTATAACACCACATTTCGANTTAGAAAATACTACAAATGGCGCAGTAAACGCCATCTGTAGCACGATGCTACATTTTAGGATTACGTATGCTCCAACAAGGTCCACTTGTGTGGATATCTACTTGCTGAAAACGAATCCCGGCGTAGCCAACCTCAGCGTGATAGGCACGTTAGCTTAATCGAACAAAATAATTCGAAGTGCTCTGTGTTCTGTCGAAACTGCCAGACGCGGATCGTGATTTCGATCTTCTTGGACCTCATCAGCGCGTCGCAGGCAGCTCCGACACAACACAGGCCAACTTTTACCTGCTGTCTTAACAGCGCGTTTTAGAAAATACTACAAATGGCGCAGTAAACGCCAATCTGTAAACGCCGTTGGAGCATACGTAATCCTAAAATGTAACATCGTGCTACAGATGGCGTTTACTGCGCCATTTGTAGTATTTTCTACTTAAGAATATTCAGGGAAATCATATTTTTTCGATCTGCGTGACCTGGACAACGAGTAAAAAAGGTGGTTGCGAGATTTAGTATAGATCCCAAATTGACTCAATTATACGAAACTAATTTACAATTAGATCCGATGCACGCGGACGTTAGTTGTGGCAACTTTAATTGAATTGTACAAATAATTAATGATACGGATGCTTTTTCCAAATTAATTCTATTGTTCAGTTTATTATTACAATTTTCGTTTTACACAGAATCATACAAGTTGAATAGAAAAGAAATTGTAACGTTTGAATTAACCGATTAACTGAAACTAATTTTCACAATTTATCCAAGTATAAGCAATTAATATTCTGCTTGTGGTACTTGCGTGTCAGATAGAACGTTTTCAAATAAAACGCATACCTCTCTTGTAATTTTTTAATGCATTGATATTCTAGGATTATCATTTTTATTATTGTCACCTTGGAATATCCATTATATGCGTAATATAACTGTATGTTTTTAAACAACGCAGTAGCATAAAATTATATTGATTATGAAATTTAGAGTACATAGTTATATTACCTTTAAATTATGACGTGTTGTAAGAGCGGACCCGGATTGCAGTAACATTTAAAATGATGTAATTAGTTCATATCACGTTTCGTTCTTAGGAAAATTGTTGCAAAAGTATCTTATTGACCACATGTAATTACATATACGAGGGTGGATTGATAAGTTTCCGGCCTAACCAAGAGATGACGCCACTAGGCCTACCTTGAGGTGACATTCTATAGTACCATCCTTGGATAGCTTGTAGCTATAGTTTCAGCCCGATCTCCTTGCTAG